CACACACACACACACACACACACACACACACACACACACACCACTCTTCCTCACACAAACACACACTTTGCTTCCAATTTTCCACTTTTTTTGGGCCTCAGAAGCTTTTCCAAATGGATTTTTGGGTTATTTCCTTTGCGTTTTTTATCAGATCTGTAAGTTTTTTTCTTCTTTTCCGTTTTCTGAAAGAGTCTGACCCCACTTCCTCCTCCTCTCCTCTCCGATGGCCTCCAAACTATGCCAACTTTTATTTAAGAACAGGTCTGAGGGACGGGGAGTTTCACAGGAGGAGCCTGAACGCTTCACGATGTTAACTCATTGACTGGCAGCCATTTTCAGAACAGAGTCCCATACTGCCAGTTTTTTGAGCATTTTGACTGATTTTTCAAGAGCCACAGAATAGTTTGTGCTATGACTATGTAGACACCGAACACACCAAAAGAAAGAGTAGACTCTCTTCTTTCATCAGGAAAAACAATGTGTTTCTACCTTATTCCGTTCTTCCTGGACTTGCGTCTCACCGGCACCATTTCTTTCATAGCGAACCGTTAGCTTTTTCTTATTTGCTTACAGTCTATGCTCATCTCCCATCAAAAGTGGCACTGCCCCCTAGAGGGTCAATTTGTTACTACATACTCTGTCTAGAAGCCTGATATTTACGGACAAGCTTTAGCAGATCGTCCCCCAACCACTCTCGTTGAAAAACATAAAAGACCTCTATAGAAGTCTTTGGCAGCCAATGAGTTAACAATCATTCACTTTGGGTTCATTAAAGAGTAATCTTCCCCCCCAAAAAAGCCCCCCCGACATCTATTCTGCCTGGAAAGTTAAGCCCCGCCCCCTGACCACGCCCACCGGTTTGAGCGGCCCGTTCTGGGGCTCCTAAGAAGAGAAATATCCACAAAGACGCATGGTTTAGAAAAACAAAGCGCTTTATTAGAGCCGTCATGTTTCTACTCATCGTATCAAAGTGTACAGCAGTAATTACTCAAAGAGGGCTAGCATGGTTTAACTATTATGCACAAGACTACACAACTTCATTTATGGAGACAAAGGC